CTTCTGAAGTTTCTTGGGTTTCAGTTAAATTTCCATCCTTTAAACACAAGACGGTTGAAGAGTAAGAGGACTCTGAAACAGTTGGTATTTTTGTTACTTTCAGTTTTTCATTTAACTGAAATTTAACCCCTGTGAACTTTTCTCATTGCTGTGAAATGTTAACACGGCTTCTGTCATTATAAATAATGATGAACATTTAAACATTATCAATCAGTTAATAGGTTAAATGTGTGTGTGTGTGTGTGTGTGTCAATTCTCAGTTATTTGTCATGTTTGTGGGTTACTGCTAACAATTATCTGTCTTCTTTGATATCTAACTTTTGATAATTTAAAGTCAATGACAGGCATGAAAAGAAATTCATATACTTTGTTTATTAGAGTTAGGAAAAGGGTTGTCATGTTTTGCTTTTAAAAAAATATGGTTCTTCAGGCTAGAGATATGGCTCAGTGGTTAAGAGTATTTGCTACTCCTGCAGAGGACCTGGGTATGATTCCCAGAACCCACAAGGTGGCTCACAACCGTTACTCCAATTCTAAAGAACTTAACACCCTCTTCTGGCCTCTTGGGGCACCAGGCATACACACTGTGCACAGAGATATCTGCAGGCAAAACACCCAAATGCATAAAATAATTACGTCCTAAAACTAAATGATCCTGGGGACTGAATGCCTCATGCAAGTGTTCTACCACCTGAGCTAAAGTCTTAGTCCCAGGGAATGTGTTGGTAGATAAAGGAATTCAGGATAAGCTGTGTTATTTTGAAAACAAATTTGTTACATACACATACACATTAAGACAGAGCATTAAACACAATTAACAAGTAGCTTTCTTATCTATGGAAAGAAGTTAAGTAAAAACAGATTCTTACTTTTCGTCTGATTAGTATAAAGATATTCTTAAAAACTTAATATTTAAGAATACATTAAAAGAAAAAGATTAGTTGTTATGAAGGCTATAACAGTGTGACTAAATAATCTTCAAAGTTTTAAATGAGCAGTTTCTATAAACACAACAATAAGAAAAACGATTTAGTCACATGATTACCACAGATTTCTAAGACTTGAAAAACACAAGAGCATAGTGATCAGAATTACAGTAACACATGTAAATGAGACAAGGAGGATTTTACCCAGGAACGCAGTCAGAGATGACAGGTACTGGAGATGTGAGACTGGGTACCAGGAAGGAAACCACACAAGGAATCTAAAGTTGTAAACAATGCGGCACATGCAAGTCATTATCAGAAAGAGATAAAACCTACTGGGAGAACAGATTCTTACACGAAGCTCTGAACAGGGACATAGAGCTTTATACTCTGCCTTATTTTCAAGATAAGCACAAAGGCTGCAGAAAATCTCTGAGGTAACCAATAATCTCTGCAGTATGAAAAACATCTAAAGAATCTCAACAAATACAAGTCACAGACAGTAGCTACTGGGAAAGGAAAACAGAGGTTCCTAGGTTGTAGGGCTCAGCAGACTGTGTTCAGAGCAGTTTAAACCAGGGAGTCACTCCACATTTGGAGCCATTCCTTTCATCCAGAACGGTCTTTTTAGACAGGTAACCTGGTGCACACTTACAAGTTTAAACTTTTGCTTGTTCGCATATTTTTGTTTGTTTTATTATCTATATAGCTAGCATACAGAGACAGAAGTAGAAGGTAAAAAAAATGAATTACATTGAACATCACTTCCCATGTTACAAAATTTCAAATAGGTGTAGAGTTCATTTCTATAGTTATTTACTTTAAGTACTATAAGAGATATTATTCTTTAAAAATTCTACCTAAGGCAATTTATAGATTCAATGCAATCCCCATCAAGATCCCATCAAAATTCTTCACAAATCTGGAGAGGACAATAATCAACTTTATATGGAAAAACAAAAAACCCAGGATAGCCAAAACAATCCTATACAATAAAGGATCTTCTGGAGGCATTACCATCCCTGACTTCAAACTCTATTTCAGAGCTACAGTAATGAAAACAGTGTGGTACTGGCATAAAAACAGAGAAGTCGACCAATGGAATCGTATAGAAGACCCGGATTTTAACCCACAAACCTATGAACACCTCATTTTTGATAAAGGAGCTAAAAGTATACAATGGAAGAAAGAAAGCATCTTCAACAAATGGTGCTGGCACAACTGGATGTCAACCTGTAGAAGAATGAAAATAGACCCACATCTTTCACCGTGCACAAAACTCAAGTCCAAATGGATTAAAGACCTCAATATCAGCCCGAACACACTGAAAAGGATAGAAGAGAAAGTGGGAAATACCCTACAACAGATGGGCACAGGAGACCGCTTCCTATGTATAACCCCAGAAGCACAGACATTAAGAGCAACATTGAATAAATGGGACCTACTAAAACTGAGAAGCTTCTGCAAAGCAAAGGACACTGTCACTAAGACACAAAGGCAACCTACTGACTGGGAGAAGATCTTCACCAACCCCTCAACAGACAAAGGTCTGATCTCCAAAATATATAGAGAACTCAAGAAACTAGACTTTAAAATGCTAATTAACCCAATTAAAAAATGGGGCACTGATCTGAACAGAGAATTCTCAACAGAAGAAGTTCAAATGGCCAAAAGACACTTAAGGTCATGCTCAACTTCCTTAGCAATCAGGGAAATGCAAATCAAAACAACTTTGAGATATCATCTTACACCTGTGAAAATGGCTAAAGTCAAAAACACCAACGATAACCTTTGCTGGAGAGGTTGTGGAGGAAGGGGTACCCTCATCCATTGCTGGTGGGAATGCAATCTTGTGCAACCACTATGGAAGTCAGTGTTTCGGTTTCTTAGGAAATTCGGGATCAACCTACCCCTAGACCCAGCAATACCACTCTTGGGAATATACCCAAGAGATGCCCTATCATATGACAAAAGCATTTGTTCAACTATGTTCATAGCAGTATTATTTGTAATAGCCAGAACCTGGAAACAACCTAGATGCCCTTCAATGGAAGAATGGATGAAGAAAGTATGGAATATATACACGCTAGAGTACTACGCTGCGGTAAAAAACAATGACTTCTCGAATTTTGCATGCAAATGGATGGAAATAGAAAACACTATCCTGAGTGAGGTATCCCAGACCCAAAAAGATGAACATGGGATGTACTCACTCATAATTGGTTTCTAGCCATAAATAAGGGTCACGGAGTCTACAATAGGTGAATCTAAAGAAGCTAAGTAAGAAGGGGAACCCAAGGTAAAACATATAGTTATCCTCTTGGCTAAGGGAAGTAGACAAAATTGCCGGGGAGAAAATTGGGATCTTGGGGTGGGGTGGGTTGGGGGTAAGGGGAGATGGGGAGAGAAAAGTTAGAAGGGAAGGAGGTCGGGCCTTGGGAAAGCAGGAGGATAGGGATAAAGGAAGGTTGGACAGGGGAGCACGGAACCACAATTCTTAGTTAAGGGAACCACTTTAGGGTTGGCAAGAGACCTGACCCTAGAGGGGCTCCCAGGTGCCCAAGCTGAGGTCCCCAGTTAGTTCCTTGGGCAGTTGAGAATAGGGAACCTGAAATGACCCTATCCTTGAGCAATACTGACGAATATCTAGCATATTATCATAGAACCTTCATCTGGTGATGGATGGAGATAGAGACAGAGACCCACACTGGAGCACTGGACTGAGCTCCCAAAGTCCCAATGAGGAGCAGAAGGAGGGAGAACATGAGCAAAGAAGTCGGGACCACGAGGGGTGCACCCACCCACTGAGACAGTGGAGCTGATCTATTGAGAGCTCACCAAGACCAGCTGGACTGTGACTGAAAAAGCATGGGATAAAACTGGACTCTCTGAACATGGCGAACAATGAGGGCTGATGAGACGCAAAGGACAATGGCACGGGGGTTTGATCCTACGTAATGTGCTGGCTTTGTGGGAGCCCAGCCAGTTTGGATGTTCACCTTCCTAGATATGGACGGAGGTGGGAGGTCCTAGGTCTTACCACAGGGCAGAAAACCCTGACTGCTCTTTGGACTGGAGAGGGAGGGGGAAAGGAGTGGGGGGAGGGGGAGAAGGTTGGGAGGAGGGGGAGTAGGGGGGAAGGAGGGGGAGGGAAATGGGAGGCTGGGAGGAGGTGGAAACTTTTTTTTTTTTTCTCCTTTTCTCAATAAAAAAAAAAAAAAAAAAAACTTGCCAATCATGAGGGTTAGGGTACAAAACTGTTTGCCACATTATTTTCAGTATATTGCTTTCAAATGTTTTTACTACATTTAATTAGTGTGTGTGTGTGTATGTTTGCTGCTGCTGCTACAATTACATGCACATGGAAGTCAGAAGAAAACTTGTAGGAGTTGTTCACTCCTTCTACCATGTGGGTCAGTCTCAGGGATCAAACTCTGATTGCCAGACATCGTGGCAAGCTCCTTTCCCCACAGAGCCATCTTATTAGTTTATCAGAGAGTCATTTCAACACAATGCCCTTTCTATACGCATGCATCTGTGAGACACTGGTTCTAAGATCTCTCTGCTCCCTTGCCAAAATCCACAGGTGCTCAATTCACATATTTAAAATGGTTAAGTGCATATAGCATATGATATCCTGCACATACCACGAACTGTCTCTAAATTAGTTTCAAAACCTAACAGACAGATATGCTATGAAAACAGTTGTGATACGGTTTAACAGCATGAACATCAGCACTACAGAGGCCATCAGTACTGGCCTGGGTAAGCACATCAGCAAAAACATGACTTTATTTCTCAAACACTTTGGATATGAAATTGATTAGCTCTGTATATAGGGAATCTTCAAAAGCAGAGTGTTCAAGGCATATTTATCTATAACTGAGTCCTAGATAAAAATCTATGGGCAGAAAAGTTCCATATTCAGAAGAAGCCAAAAAAAAAATCCAGAAGACAACCTTTTTACTCTAGAAAACAACAAGGAGGCATTAGAAACCAATGTAATCCATTAAATTCATTTTCGCTTAAATTGATCTGTAGTCTTTGGGGAATTCTAAATTTTATGAAACTTACCAGGCCCACTTCTTTCAAAGCCGAAGTCACAGAAATAACAGGTCTCATTTGCTGCTTTGATGGAGAACCCCCCATTTCTTGATGCTCCAAAGGTAGAGAAATATCTGAGCTCCTTACCTTCACCACCAACTGCAAGAAACAGAATACACAGCTAAAAACACTGGATTTCATATCCTCATAGAGAAATAAAAGGCCCCAAGATATCTCTAATGCATAGTACAAATAGCTTCCAATTCCTTCATTCCTCACTGGGCTGGACACTATGATACATGCTGGTAGAATGTGAACACAGAAATCCCCAGCTGCATGTGTAAACACAGCCACGTGTCTGACAAGCAGTCCTAAATAAAACTGGCTACCACTGCTCGAGCAATGTCTCATAAAATGATTCCGCCAAAAGTCTTCAAGGGTCATGAGGAATGCTCAGTAGTTAATAGTGCTTACTTCTCTTGCAGAGAACCTGTGTTGAATTCCCAGCACCAATACAGTAGCTCACAACCATTGTCAACTCCAGTTCCAGGAGATCCAATGCCCTCTTGGCCTCCATGGGCTCCTGCACACACTTGGTGCGCATAATCTCACAGAAGCATACACACATACCCATAAAAATAATAAACACACACATAAACAATGTGTAAGAGTCATATAGAATATTCATTTCTAATACCATTATGTTATTTTAATCTAATACAATGTTTAATGTAAAAGTAGTTTATTAATTTTATATTTCAGAAAGAAATGCTTCTAAAATTTCTCCCAAATTTTGTAGTTTCCTTAAAGCCTGAAACCCATATTTCGACACAAGTGCACTTTTATCAGGTGCTAGTCATTGGGACTCTAATCAGCATAAATATTGTGAGCTTAAATTTTTACTATTATAGTTTGTATTTGTGCATTTGAGGTGACCCCAGAGGTTCCCCTGAGCTAGCGTTTCAGAAAGTTGAGAGCTGCTTGAAGCAGGTCCTGTGATCTGTACTTGGGTGCTCTGCAAGAACACTCTTGACCCATCTTTCCAGCTCTCAGACAGTAAACTTCTGAAATAAATAGAGGCAGTGGAATTAGCTGTACTGTTGTAGCACAGAGTGAGTTGCTCCCAACTACAAATCGTTCTTGATTACGAAGACTTTCAGTAAGTATATATTTCAGGTAGTTGTTACAGAGTGTAATGGTCTTAATAATAAAAACCCAGAGTCAATATCGGGGCAAACGCTGGAAGATCAGAGAAGTATTAGGGAGCCAGCCAATAGAGTGACTTGACTGAAGTGGGCAAGATCCTGTCCCCAAGAATCCTCAGACTGAATGGGCTGAGCTCCTGTTTCTTCCTGCCTTATATTCCTCTCTCCTCCCAGCCATATCCTTTCCTGTCCCCACCTCCCTAGCACTGGCACTAAAGGCATTTGACTCTCAAGTACTGGGATTAAAGGGGAGAGCCACCACCTCCTGGTTCTGTTTCTCTTTTACACTGAATCAATCTCACGGTGGCCTCGAACTCACAGAGATCCATCTGCCTCTGTCTCCCAAGTGCTGGGATTAAAGATGGTGCTTAGCCTTTATAGCTAATTAGTGGCTAGCTCCTCACTCTGATTTTCAGACAAGCTTTATTTCTTAGAATCACAAACAAAATGGCACCACAACTGAGCTATGAATAAGGTGGTAATTCTAATATTTAGACTTCCAATTTTTATTATACCAGTATCTATGTATTTAAACAGTTGCAAAACTGATATGGCCAACATTATTAATTATACTAATTTCAAGATGTGAAATAAATTTTTAAAGTATCTAGAACTCATAACAACCAAGTACTCTCACTGTGAAGGAATATGCTAATAATTTGAAACTGTTTTGTTAACATAAGAATGTATATTAAAGGCCTCTCAAATTCTATGGGAATCAGAATAAATTCTAAAATTGTCCTACATAACATCAAAATTTTTAGAATATATTAAAAGTTTTAAGTGATTTCTATAAAAACTGGGGCAGATACCAATAAACCAAAATTAAGAAACTGCTGAGAAACACCGTGGTTGTAAATAGTGACATTTCTAGAATCTTGTGCCAATTTTCTTGAAGAAATACTTCCTAGAATTTCAATACATGACTCTAATGTGATTCTTTCTGAGTCAACAAATTCATAGGTCTTGATATCTACTAACAAACTGAGAGTTCCTATCTGCACAAACAATCTAGGTGACGAAGACCATAATGAGTGAGGCAGGGTTCTCTTGAAAAGGCTGCAAACTGCAATGGAAAGGGAAGTAACTGACTGTACTCCTGAGAAACACTACCTGATCTGAACTAGAAGGAAACAGCAGACAAAAAACAAGAACCGAGTGTGTAAGTCAGATGAGGTGCTGAAGACAGCAGCCTCCAAGGCACCCTGAGCCTCAGCAGCCCTTCAGGGTCAAAGTCGGACACTTCTACACCCAAGGTCTCAAACTCACACTTAATACTCTTGCGATTTTTCATTGGACTCTGAGATTCAGTTTCTTCCTCTAACAAAAGAGTGATGTCCTCATTTTCTCTTTTCTGAAGAGATCAAATGAAATAAGTTGTGTGAAGCACACAGCAATTATTGATTTAACCTTTATCAAATAAGATCATTTGGCATAAGCACCAAAAGCTTAGACTGAATTACTGATGCATTAACTTGCAGAAGCCAAGTTTCTGATCTTAAGAATGCAGAACAAAAACAAAAATTCATCTGTGTATAATCGGAGTTTGAAGTTTAGGCAGTGCACTGGAGGTTTAGAACAGAATTCAAAAGAAACAGTGATCCACAAGTCGAATACCTTACCTTATGAAATTCAAAGAAAACTATGATTTAAAAGGATCAAAAAGTAATATAGTTGTATGAATAATTAAATAGAAGTTACAATAAGTATTGAAACAATTTCACTAAAGAAAACAGCATCAAATGCCCTTCTCAACTTATTCATGAATTTCAAGAATAGCTTTTTCTGTTATTATTGTTTTTATTGAGCTATATTTTTTTCTCCTCCCCTCCCTTTCATTCCCTTCCCCTTCTACCCTCTCCATGGTCCCATGCTCCCAATTTACTCAGGAGATCTTGTCTTTTCCTACTTCCCATATAGATTAGATCCACTTATGTCTCTCTTATGTCGCAGGCTTAGGGACAGGGGAGCACGGAACCACAATTCTTAGTTAAGGGAGCCACTTTAGGGTTGGCAAGAGACCTGACCCTAGAGGGGCTCCCAGGTGCCCAAACCGAGGTCCCCAGTTAGTTCCTTGGGCAGCTGAGGATAGAGAACCTGAAATGACCCTATCCTAGAGCAATACTGACGAATATCTTGCATATTATCATAGAACCTTCATCTGGTGATGGATGGAGATAGAGACAGAGACCCACACTGGAGCACTGGACTGAGCTCCCAAGGTCCCAATGAGGAGCAAAAGAAGGGAGAACATGAGCAAAGAAGTCGGGACCACGAGGGGTGCACCCACCCACTGACAGTGGAGCGGATCTATTGGGAGCTCACCAAGGCCAGCTGGACTGTGACTGAAAAAGCATGGGATAAAACTGGACTCTCTGAACATGGCGAACAATGAGGGCTGATGAGAAGCCAAGGACAATGGCACGGGGTTTTGATCCAGCTTAATGTGCTGGCTTTGTGGGAGCCTAGCCAGTTTGAATGTTCACCTTCCTAGATATGGACGGAGGGGGGAGGACCTAGGACTTACCACAGGGCAGAAAACCCTGACTGCTCTTTGGACTGGAGAGGGAGGGGGAAAGGAGTGGGAGGAGGGGGAGAAGGGTGGGAGGTGGGGAGGGAAATGGGAGGCTGGGAAGAGGTGGAAACTTGTTTTTTTTTTCTCCTTTTCTCAATAAAAAAAAGTAACAGCAGTTACTGGCTTTAATTTTTTCACATTTTAATATTTGGCATCTTTTGCTGACAATTAAGAAAAATGTAAACACATTGTGTAAAGACTGCAAATTTAAAAGTGATAAATATTTACTGAATACCTACTATGTGCTGTTCAGTTATCGTGATAAACATGGCAGGTAGAAACAAACACGCAAGCACACAATCCAGTGCCAGTAACCGCGAAATTCATAGCAACATCAAGGGTGGTTAAATGTGGAGAAGAGTTAGAAAGACAAACGAGTTATTGTCTAGGTTCTACTTAGACTGTGGCTAATACGGCATAAAAACCTTCCTGTAGCTTTTTTGTTAGGGAAAATAAGTTATGCTCTGAAAAAATAAAGTCCGGAAATAATGTCCTGTCTGCTAGTGTTCCCAGTAACATTTTAAAATGTCTAATTTTCATTCTACAAATAATCATTTCTTCAACTTTTTTTAAATCAACAACTTTTTACAAAATACCACATAAAAATATTTTAAATAAGAAATTTAGCTGTAAAAACTTAAAATCTGGGGCTGCTACTTTTACAGAAGACCTAAGTTCCATTCCCAGCCTCTACGTGAGATGGCTTATAATCACCAGTAATTCCATCTCCACGGGATGTAACACTTATGGCTTCCACAGGCACCTGCATTTAAAAATAAATCTTTGAAAAAAAACCTCTAAAATGTACTGTATTACATCCCCATGAGTGATGGAAGTCTAAAGTCCTTTACCTAGTATTTAAAAGAAATTCTCTAAACTTCCATCACAGGAATTTTGTAGGTTAGGTAACATCTATAACTGCTTTAAGTGCCAATTACTATGATGTTCAGCTATTCCTTCCAGATGGTTACTGTAGTTCCACATGACATTTCTGAAATCCAAAGCTATGTGAGCTTGAGTAGGTTTGTAATAACAAGAGATTAGTTCATGCCTCTGAAGGACACATATGCTATCCTCTCTCAGACATATATAATGCACTATAAAACTGAGATCAATTAGGGGCATCTGGTCTGAATTCAGCATGTCTCTGCATGTATCCAGGTAAGCTGGCATCCTGCTCTGCTACTTCCCTGTTTACACAAGGCTGGAGTATCATGCGGGGACACATCATCTGTGGGTCTTGGAAGCATAGTCCACCACCTGCAATTAGATAAAGCCTCCAATCTCTCTGCTTTGCATCACGATGGCCTTGACTTCAACATTCACAGAAGTAAAGCGTGTTTGTCATTCCAAGACATGGTCTGTGTAGCGTTTGACAG